TAACTAAACACGATCGGAGATACCGTACAGCCGTTACGGCCCGAAATTCCGAGAACCGCCGAGCGACTCCGGAAAATACCGAGCACACAACCGCCGAAACGCCGCGTCGTTTTCCCGCCGCGAGGTAGCGGCGCGTTACCCGCTAATTACCGATTCCGTAAACAACGCGTCGTTACCCCCACCAGAATAAACGACGCGGTTATCGCTAAGTGCTTGGTATAAAACGGCCGCCGAAATCCATCTTGACACCAGACCGGTACCTGAAGCCTCTCGAGCAGTACGCTCCGAGATACTCCACCAGATCCGATCCTAGATTTCACAGAACACGACGGAACGTGAGGTTGACGAGTTCGCAGCCTCTGCCCAGCATTCTCGATTTCCTCGACGCCTGCAAATCCTCACGCAATTCCGACCAACTCAACGAGAGCGGAGTGTTCGCCGCTTTCCTAAATTACGGTCTAAGATCCGACCGCTCCAGCCAGACAGACCGTGGGTTTGCGAGTTCGCTGTCCCGTCGAGATTCCTCGACTCCGACGAGCTATCCTCGAATCCGCGTACGGAAGCAGGGACGGAGAGTTCTCCGCCCGATCGAGATTACTCGATCTCCGACCGCCTCCCCCCGCACATCTAGGAATATGCGAAGAACACACGCAGCATCGATAGCCCACGATTTGACCGTACTTGCGAAATAAGGGAGCGTCCCCTTTGACCACGTTAATATTGATCACGGTCCCGATTGACCACGTTGATATTGACCACGGTCCCGATTGACCACGTTGACGTTGACCATGTTGATATTGACCACGGTCCCGATTGACCACGTTGATATTGACCACGGTCCCGATTGACCACGTTGATATTGACCACGGATCAATACATGTCGTTACTAGGGCATGTACTTTACAAGTTGTAAAGCGAGGCAATATCAACGTGGTCAATCGGGACTGTGGTCAAACGGGTGCCACTCGCGAAATAATAACCGCGCCGAAATACCTGTCGCGCGCACTGATGCTAGAATTGAGACGCGAACAACACGAGAAGCCTTCACTTGCGCATAGTACAATTGGACACGTTGCAATTGCACACTGTGATATTAGACACATAAAGTTGCGCACCGTTCGATTGGACACATTTCACTTGCGCAAAATACTTTTTGGACACATTTCATTTGCGCACCGTTCAATTGGACACGTTGTTTTTGGACACAACACTTGTTTTTGTATAATTTGGAATACATACACACGCATGTATAATTTTGAAATTTTTTGACATTTATTATTAATTTTATTTGGTAAATAAACGTTTGTTACAGTTCGTTTACACACATTTCGTTTGCACACAGTTCTTTTGCGCACAGTTCTTTTGCGCACATTTCTTTTGCGCACAGTTCGTTTGCACACTGTCCCATCCACACAACAATTATAGGGATCTCGTTTCGCGTTGTATAGTATATGCATGGACACAGTGGGTTCCGCCTCCCCTACGGGGAGGTTCCACTTCCGGAAGATATAACTTAACCCAAACCTTTTTTCTGATTTAAAACTAAAATTTATATGCGCAAATGAACTGTGCGCGAAAGAAGTGTGCGCAAAATAAATGTGCGCAAAAGAAATGTGCGCAAAAGCAACACGACTCCATACTGGTGGGGATACACACACAAGCGCAAACCGTGTACATGTAATGCGCAGAGCGCTCTGCGCATTACATGTACACGGTTTACGCTTGTGTGTGTATCCCCACCAGTACGGAGTCGTGTTGCTTGCATCTCAATTCTGGCATCACTGGTCGCGCGTCACTCTTTTGTATTCCGCGCGCCGTCATAATAAACAAGGCCTTGCCGTACACGCGCCGACTAGCCGCGCCCAGTTTCTTGCGCGTCTCGCGCGCCATCAAAATAAACACGGCCTTGCCGTTCGCCGACGACGCCCGATATCAGTACAACTTCTATATCTCGAAATTAACGCGACGACCACTGTCATGCACATATTATAACACCGCCGATTACTTATTGCTGCGCAACGAGCAACTATCGCGCTCGCATTACTACTCGCGCGTTGTCACCCGCCGCGCGCCCGCCTCGCGGGAGCTTAACTGTAATTTGACCACTGCCGATAAAGGCAGAATAAATCAGACTAACTTACATCCTCGTCTACCGTGTGTCTCACCACTTTCTCGAGCCTTGATCCCGGCAGAGCTAATCCGCGCGCTCGCGAAAGCGGACCCGTTACAAGGTAGAGGTAGGAATAGCGTGTGTGTGTGCGGGCAGGATAGGAAGCGAGAACTTAGCTGTAAGAGAAATTGTATGAGTAGCTAGTATTAAGAAGCGTTTAGGATAAGAAAATGTAAAGTATATAAATATGTATAGAAAATTGTAACCCTAAGGAGAATCAATAAAATTTAACTCAACTCAACTCAACTCATTATTTAAAATTTCATAACATATACATTTAATTTATTTTTCACATGCATACAATCATTCATATGATCATCATGGATGATACAATCATGAAATGAGTAATATACAATAGTATTATAAGTAATGCTGCTTATAATATTTTTCAAAAAATAATCGTGCTATCCTTGAAAATTCTAATGTGAAAAAATAAAACACAGACGCGAATTGTAAAACTCAAGAGAGAAAAAAAATATTCTTCTTAGATATTTTTCAATGACTTACGATCGTGTTCGATTATATTATACGATTTATCCATTGTGTTAGTATCGCTGGCAAAAACTGATTTCATCGCATGCGTTGTCAAATGAACGAAGGAATCTGAATTATTATCGCGACACCAAAGCTTTATCTAAAGCATTGTTTAATCAATGTAGAAACTTTTTTACATTGTCCCCGAACGATCGCGCGTCACTGATCATCGCGTTCAAATTCAAGAGATGTATACCGTCCCACAGATGCCCAAGGCACTACGCAATAGCGAATAGAAATTATAAACTTGCAGCGGCCAAACGCCGATGGGCCAGACATCAGAGTAAAGAATAACAGGAGCGAGCAGTGTAGCCAGATTGCCCACGCTAGCAACACGCAACCGTAGTGAAGGGGATACGCACACAAGCGAAAACCGTGTACATGTAATGCGCAGAGCGCTCTGCGCATTACATGTACACGGTTTTCGCTTGTGTGCGTATCCCCTTCACTACGGTTGCGTGTTGCTAGCGTGGGCAATCTGGCTACACTGGGAGCGAGCATATCGGTAGTGGGGATAGACTTATCACGAACGGTAGTATGTCATCGCAGCCATCTTGAGCGTCCACTATTTTCGACGTTTTTCAGGGCCGTGTACAGCCATTTGTTGCCTTACTTGTTCCAATCTGCATTTATTTTGCGCACGATTACCGATTCTAAATAAGTGAGAGGAAGAGCCAATATTATTTTTAAAAAAATATTATTAATAAGTGTTAATTGTAAGATCAGAGCATCATAGTGCATCAGGCCTTTGAGGTACTTCCAATATTTTCGTCATGCTGCAATTCGTCCCTGAGCGGCCATCTTGCGCGTCCATTTATATATAGTCACTTCCGTCCGCTCACCTAACACCAAATACTCACTTCTGTTATTCTTTACACTGAGGGCCAGACCATCAATTTATTCAGAGTCATCGCGTATGCGATATCTTTTTTCCATCATTCGCTTGCCATCGGGTCGAGGTAATGATTGTAACTGATACCAATAGCCGATGATGTGCTCGCTATATCAATACAACGCATGCTTGGACTCTTTTTTTATTAAACACGAGAGGTATACATGCTCATCAGTCTGCCCTTCACGCTCTTCATGCATTGATACATTATTTAACAAAATATATGGAGAACTTTACGCAAAATTGCCGCTGGATAAAGATCTACATAATAATATTTTTTAAATTGCCACCCATCGAGCAACTATTCCTTTCTATTACGCAAAATATCAGAAGAATTCTTGGTAAAACTGCATAAAAGGTAACATACCTCCGATTGTATCGCCACTTAAATACATATGTCGTAGGGGAGGTTCTTCTGAGTAATTCGCTGCAAGAAATAAGTGGGGAAGGCATTGGTTTAGGAGATATAACAAATTAAAGTTTCACAGTTTTAATGCATTTTCTTAAGTATTATAAAATAATATTAAGAAAAGTGAAGTTTGTGTACGTGTATTTGTTATAGAGTAGACGTGGAAAAAATGTTTGTTTACATTTACGAGATAGGTACATAGTCATGGATATTTCATCAATAATGTGTTTCACCTACTTCTTGCAATTCGTTAACAGCTTTCAACATGCAACTACACGAATTTTTGAGGCATGTCTTGAAAAATATTATTTATTGAATGGGTAGGCAGGGGAGGAGCTCTGCTCCCTGCCCACGCGTAAATGTCATAAACCATTTTTTTCAATGAAAAAATAACAAATTATACAGCATACACATACTTTAATGTCAAACTACAATTTGTTATATTTTCTAAATTCTAAATCAATGCCGTCCCCTATTTATTTCTTGCGGGGAATTATTCAGAAGAACCTTCCCTATAACATATTTAAGTGGCGATAAAATCAGAGATGTGTTATCTTTTATGCAGTTTTACCGAATTTTTTACATTTACCTTATCACATATGCGTATATTATACTATAATTTATTCCATCTTGATATCCGTTTGGCTAAACAAGATCAATTTATTCAAAAGTGAAAATATATAATAACTCACCCTTTTTTTATAAGAGAAATTTTGATTACGACAAATTGACAGAGGCGTTATGGGTAAAATAATCTAGTATATTAAGAAACTTGTTTCTTTCCATTACAGTATAATATTTTAATAATAACAATTTCAAATATATGTATATATTTATGATATTGTATGAAAAAGATTGATTTGGCACATACACTACTGTAATTGGCAGTTATATTTAACAATTTGTTTTTGATAAGTTATTTGTTTTATATAATTTTTTTGAACGTATCATGTACTTGCTATTTGTAGAACTTTTTCATTCGCGCGTGTTGTTTTTCACGTTTCCATCATTACACGAAGTACAGATAAATAGGAAAAAGAGGTCTTTAAGATACTCATATATGTTGACAGGTTTATCGTTATGAAATTTCCAGCTTGCAAAGTGACTGGAGATTCTGTCTGCATAAAGATGAAGACTAAATTCTTCATCAGTTTCGCAGGAAGATCATACCAAGCGCTTTGATAGATGGAGAACCTTATTTCTTCCATCTGGAACTTCAGATAATTTCCGATAAAGCTGTACACCGTTAGTTGGATCAGAAAGGCACTTTGCACTATTAAACTTTTTGCCATCATAACAATGTCATTATTTTTCATCGCTAGAATAAACTGAAATCCTACGAAAAAAAAGAATATTTATTTATTAAATATATAAATTAGTTTTTATAACGTTACTTATATACAGGGTGATTCAAAACAACCTTCTGTCCTTACAATGTCATATACTTGACTCAATTCTAAGACGATTTTTCCTTTGCCAAAATTTTTTCCGAGGCTTAGTTTTCAAATTATAAGCCAAAATAATTAACGAATTACGGGCCGCGTACGCAAGGCAGGCAGGGGCGGCGCAACTCACCGTCCGATGCTGGTGATTACGTGAAGCGCTCGCTGCGATCAACTGTTTCCTACATGCGATGGGTATAAAAGAGAAAGACAGAGAGAGAGAGAGAGAGAGAGAGAGAGAGAG